GGTCAGCTTCCTCTCTGCACCCTTCCCCGCCCCGGAGAAACAGATTCCCGGTTCTGTCAGGAAAGAAAGGTGCATTTTAGAGAGGCTGCGACCATGAGCCATTTTCAGTTTCTCTCTGCACTGGAGCCTTTTCCTGTTTGGGGTTCTGCCATGCGCGCTCAGCCTTACTATACACTATGAGGCTTGCACTGATGTAGGTGTGGGCACAGCCCAGGACCCTGGAAGTTCACAGTGTGGGTGACGCAGGATGTTGTGTGGTACAAAGGGAAGAACTTGGGCCAAGGTCAGAAGACCTGGGTTCCAGTCTAGGCTCTTTTGCTATAGAGCTGTGAAATTTTGACTCTGTCTCTTTACCTTTACCTTTCTCAGCTTCTTTCTGTGTAAAATGATGGGGAGAGAGTCATACTCGGTGACCAGGAGGTCAGTCCAGCTCAGATATCCTGACCATTCTGAGCTAACACAACATCCCTGTTTATGGCAGATGGATGACCTCCTTTGGGCATGTGGGCTGGCCTCCCAAGGCCACCAGCACTGGGTCTGCTCTGTGCTCATCTCTGTAGAATTTCCAGGCAGGAGGATGGGGATGGTAATGAGGCAGAGTGACTGGAGAGGGCCAGCCCAGTGCCTGAGCTGAAGGGGCCCCATTGAGGAGCTGGACTGCTCCTTGTTCCCTGCTGGGAACAGGTGCAACAGGGAGTTGTGTTGGAACGCTGAGCAGGTGCTCCTATCGGATCAGATGGATTGCAGCACTCCATGCGGGCTCACGTAAGTTCATGTCCCTTGAGATTTCCTCGTGTAACTTTAAAATTCTTGTTTGCCCTGACAAATTAGGCTCTTAGTGTTAATTGAATAAATGACTAAGTGAAATGGGACAGGAAGAGCCTGGGCCCTTCAGGATCAGGTAATTATGGTGAGTAGAGTCCTTACCCCTGTTCTTCCTCAAGTTCCCCTCTTGAATTTTTTTCTTCTTAGTATGAAAAATTTCAAACCCTTGAAAAACTATAGTAGTATAATATCACCCATATGTCATCTAGATTTAATACTAATAATTTTTCTGCCATATTTACTTTACCTGCTGTGTTTATTGAAGTATTTTAAAGTAAGATACAGAACCTCAAACAGTATATTTTACCCCCAATACTTCAAAAGTGACTAAAAAATAAGGACATTTTCATATGTAACTACACTTTCATTATCATGCTTACAAAATTAATCAATTTCTCTATTTGTCTCCCAAATGTTTGGATTTGTTCATACCAGAATTCAGTTAAAGTTCACATACTACATGTGGATGTTATGTTCATAAGTTTCTATTGATATCACCTTTATTTTTCATAAATTAAAAAGATTCAGTCAATTGTCCTGTAGAATGTTCTACCTACTGGATTTATTTTATTGTTTTCTCTTGATGTCACTTAACATTGATCCCTGTGTTTTCTATAAAGTGGAAGCTAAATCTTAAGGGTTTAATAGATTAAGGGCTGAGTATTTTTGACAAGAATTCTTTGAGGGTGGTGTTGTGTATGTCATGTTGTATCACATCAAGAGCTCCTTAATGCCTGCTTTTCTCACTATTAGTGGTGTTAAGTTGATCCCAGTTTTGGGCTAGTGACCATTGTAATTACTTTTCCTCCTCGTGTCCTGTAAGTAACAGTGATTCTTTGATGCTATGTGAATACCCAGTTCCTCATCACCCTTTCACTTAATGGTGATGGTATCCTTGTTGAAATCAATTATGTAATTAGAAACTGTAATATTGCAATATTTCTTAATATATCATTCCTTCTACATTGATTAGCTGACAGTCTTCTGTTAAAAAAGAAAGAGCTTTCCCTCATCAACAGGGCTGTTTGGATGGGAATAAATAAGTTTTATTCCTGGAGGGTTTCCTTTTTTTAACAACACTAAGAACTTGTGGATTTTTATATATACATCCTGTTTCAATCAAGTACCACTAATCTTCTTTCTGATGCTCAGTGTGTGTGTGTCTCATCTTTGGCAGCGGGAGCCTCTTCAAGTTGGTTTCTGAGATATTTTGACATCACCTCCGTCTGTGTTATTGTCTGTGCCCTCAGAGCTCACGGTATCCCTTCCTTTGCCCCAACCCTGGTTCCAGTTAGTGGGATGGTGTTGAGCGACCTTCACTTTCTCTCTCTTTTTTTTAAATTTATTTTTTATTGTGCAATAAACATTTTTTAAATTAATTTCATCTGTACAATATAGTGCAATAGTTATACTTTTTACCCCTCAAAGTGACAACCCCCTCCCCCAATCCGCTGCTCCACTTCCCCCCCCATATCATACATATCTATTACAATTCCCTTGCCTCCACTCCCACACTATACTCCACGTCCCATGACAATATATATATATATATATATATATATATATATATA